TTAATTATTAAAACAAGTTAAAATCATTTATTCATCATCAGTTATAGTAAGAAATATAGAATCCTCTGAATATTTCAGTACTTCAGGCACAAGTCTGCAAATCCCAAACTTGTTCTCTTGCCAATACACTTCAGGTGCACCCACTGTAGACAAGTCACAGACCACAAACCCATGTTCAAGTCCTGTCTACAAAGCCTGCACAACCACTGCGCTGACAATCTCAAATATAATATATTCTTAGTTCTAAAACACTATTTAGATTTATGGGCAAAATAGCCTTGGTGACTATTTTACAGGGACCAGCAAAATAGGCTATTTGTATATTTTTATATCTATTGATTTTAAATATATACTTATCCCCAAACAATGTAAATGTTTATAAACTCATATATAAACCAACAATGTTTGGGCACCTCAGCGTGGTGTAACGGTTAGCAAGCTTGTCTCACTAGAACAATTATGAGTAGTGAGTTTAATCCTCACTGGGTGCTCCATACTTCCAGCCTTGTGCTGCATCTAAGCAACGTTTAGAAAATCACTATAAACCACCTATGTCAACTCCTACATCTGGTACTTAAAGGTAACTTGGTTTCTTAGTTACTATATTAAAAACAAATAAAAAAAATTCATCTGTAAAGGAAATGTTTTTTCACAAAATATTTGTGTTTAAACCAAGTAAATGCTTAATGACTCAGATAGGATTGATAAATCTTTACCTGTTCCTGAAATAAGTATATATATATATATATATATATATATATATATATATATATATATATATATATATGCAAATATGTAGAAAAATAGGAAAGAACAGGTTAGGTAAATAATCCGAGGTTCTTTAGTATTTTTGTTTTTATTTTTAAAAAACAGTGCTCCATACAGAAGTAGAGCTATAATTATTTTAAAAAAAAATGATTCCTTCGCTACATAAGAGTTCTCATGTTTCAAAAACAAGAGCCAAAAACCTCAATATAATTATTGAAATTAAATTGAATTAAAGTATCAAGGCCTGTTTCATCCTCAACCAGAGCCCTTGAAGAACAGACTTTTATCAAGAAACTTGGAAGTTGGGAAAAACAACAAAAAAAAATTTGTATTTAAAAATTAAGTAATCTTTTTATACAATATTAGCCAAATATTGGTAAGATAGATTATATATATATAATCTCCAAACCAACTAAATTCTTATATGCCAAGATATAAATGACTAATATTTACCTATCCTTGAGTCCAATAAATATTTATGGACCCAAATATAAACAACGAATATTTGCCGATAACCAAACCTACCAAGAAAATATTTGAAGTTGGTGTTGTGAATATAAATAAAGGGAAAAAAATTTTACAAACATTGGCTAAAGGCATGAAAACGGTCAAAGTATCATTTTTAAATAAAACTCATGAAGTGAAACATGTAAATAAGAATTGATCTTGCAATTGTAATTTTTAGTGATTAATGTAAAGATACATTGCATATAAACCAAGTATTGGAGGACATATTGGGTTGGTCCTCCATGAAATTTATCAGCTGGTATGGTCTAAAAGACAACAGTAGGAAGGTAATGATAATGAGTTGCACTCATGGAACTTCTGCAAGTGTTAACAAAAAGGTTTTTCCCCTTTCATCATGCTTCTGCTCTTATTTCACCCTTTGCCTGTATCTTCTTATTCTCTTCCTTATCCCACTAGCTGGACCAGTGGCAAATCTACTGGTGTTGATAAATAAGATTTTTCCCCACTTCTCATGATTCTGCTCTCCTATTGTCTGTATCTTCTCATTCTCTTCCTTTTCCCTTCCGTTATCTAAAATATGAACAAATTTCATGCATGAAATAAAGAAAAGAAATGCACAACTATTTTCTCCTGCATCCTTTTTTTAATCTCTCTTTTGTTCTCTCTTCCTACTATTCCTCCTTCTTACTCTCTTTTCATTCTACTCTTTATCCCTAAACCTTGCCTCCCACCTTTCCTCCTTCCTAATTTCTTTTCATTCTACTCTTTATCCCTAAACCTTGCCTCCCACCTTTCCTCCTTCCTAATTTCTTTTCATTCTACTCTTTATCCCTAAACCTTGCCTCCCACCTTTCCTCCTTCCTAATTTCTTTTTCATTCTAATTTTATCCCTAAACCTTGTCTCCCCACCTTTTTTCCTTCCTAATTTCTTTTCATTCTACTCTTTTTATCCCTAAACCTTGCCTCCCACCTTTTCCTCCTTCCTAATTTCCCTTTTCATTCCTACTTCACAATTTTTGTATTTATCCCTAAACCTTGCCTCCCACCTTTCCTCCTTCCTAATTTCTTTTCATTCTACTCTTTATCCCTAAACCTTGCCTCCCACCTTTCCTCCTTCCTAATTTCTTTTCATTTTACTCTTTATCCCTAAAACTTTGCCTCCCAAAAGAAATCCTTAACCAATTTCTTTTTCTTTTTAAAAAATATCCCTAAACCTTGTTCCATTCCCTTGTTCCATTCCCTAACCATTACCTCCTACCATTTGTACTTCTCGCTCTTTTTTTGCCCTTTTGCCTCCTACCATTCCTCCTTCACACTCTCTTTTCACACTAATCCTTTTCCCTAACAATTGCCTCCTACTATTTGCACTACTCCTTTCCTTATCCCTCCCTCCTACCATTCCTTCTCCTCACTCTCTTTTTGCTCTACTCCTCTCCTTTCTGCTTCATATTTATAAAGATCTCCATCAAAAAGTACATCAGATTTCAGCCCAAGAGAGCTCAGAATCAAATTATTACTACACTCTGATCATAGGTAGGAGTACATGATAGGTGTATATAAAAACAATCTAAATATTCATAAAAACTACCATGACAAAGTTGATTATTTAAAATCGAGTTCTAAAAATAAACGTTTGAATTGTATGAAATATACTAAATGCTCTTTTGGGATTTTATTTTTATTTATTTTTTTTGTTGCTTTCTCCTCATTGAATATTTTCATTTTTACACTTTTCTCACCGATGTTGAGTCCTCCTTATCATCTGATTCTTCCGTTATTTTCTCCAGGTAAAATTTCATCCATTTTGTTGTTGATCTTTCCTGTGAGACAAAGAAAAGCAACAAATATAATCTTAACCAAATATCTTTAAATAATAACAGGAAGTTGTCACCATATCTTGAATCAGATGTTAAACATATGTTTGGCATTCAGCTGCAAATCCTCACTTCATGCAATTAAGTCATCTATATAATTAAATCATAAACCCAGTAATGTCTGCTCACAAAAAATGTTATCGCAGTTTATAAAACCCAATGATAAAACTTCTGTTGTTTAATAATATCTTTTAAAAATTTTGATTGCGTTCATGGCCATCATTATCAGTGAGAAATTAAAAAAAAAAAACTCAGTTAACATTGATTCCTTTCCTGACCTTTCTTTTATATCAATTGGATTTCAGTTTATCATGAAACCATAGAGGTACAGATATTATAATGGTTTCCAGCACTGAAAATGAAATTGGCAAACCGAGTTCAAGTTCCAACCTTGCCTGTTGTATTCACTTTCACACTAATGCCCTCAAGAAAGGTATGGATTCATCACTTCTCCATCTATGGGTTCAATAGCAAAATACTGGGCACTTTCAGATTTGGCTAGCAATCAAACTAAGAGAAGGAAAACTCTGAATTTCAAAGTAATGGCAACAGGAAACAATTCTATTTTTGGCAAGAACTAATTGATTTATTTGTTTTGTACAGCTTTAAATAATCTGCAAAAGGTTGATACCTTTTGCAGATTATTTAAAGCCAGAAAATATTTTTAGATTGTAAGAATTTTATTTTGAGATAATAATGACTTAGTGATACAAGTCTTACTAATTAAGCCATATCTAGGAGAGACGAGATAAATTTATAGCCCATCAGAATTTATGTTGTGGGGGATCATTTCTATATTACAATCAAGATGTAAACTGATCCCTCACTTTGTTGACATATACTTTTTTTATACATTTATATTCCAGAGAATGGAAATAAATATAAGACATTTCTGTATAGCTAATCAGTATTTATTTGTTGATTGATTCATTTTCTACAGTTTATCAACCGTTTACAGGTTATTTAAAGCCAGAAAATACTTTTAGATTGTAAAATTTATTTTGAGATAATAATGGTTTAGTGATACAAGTCTTACTAATTAACCCATACATGGGAGGGGAAGTGGATTTATACCTAATCAAAATTTGATAAACAAGAAATGTCATGGATGCAAAATGGGAGATCAATTCTATATTACAATCGGTATATAAACTGATCCCTCACTTTGTGGTCACAGTAGTTTCTATATATTTATATTCTAGAGAATGTAAATAAATCTAAAAGACATGCCTTTGTAGCTAATCAGGATTTCATTGATTGGTTGATTCGTTTTCTATGGCTTATCAACAAACAAAAAATTATAAGTGGGTATAAAGTGGGGGATAATTCTACATTACAATCAATATATAAACTGATCCCTCACTTTGTGATTACAGTAGTTCCTATATATTAATATTCTAGAGAATGTAAATAAATCTAAAAGACATGCCTGTAGCTAATCAGTATTTCATTGATGAACTGATTTGTTGTTGATGGCTTATCAACCCTTTAAATTTATTTAAAGCTAGAAAATACTTTTAGATTGTGGCTTTTTTTTTTTTTTTTTTTTTTTTTTTTTTTTTGAGATAATAATGGTTAGTGATACAAGTCTTACTAATTAACCCATAGCTGAGGGAGTAGTTGGTTTGTACCTTCACCAAAGTTATTTGCACTTAAGTGAATATAACAACACAACAGGAATTGGAATTCAGCTCTCTGAATAAAAATTCCAAGCTACTATCTATTAAACCAGCCACACATTCCAGCTTACAGCACCTGGTATTTCCAAGTGGTCACCCATATAGGTATTGACCAGGCTCAACGTTGCTTAACTCCTGTGACCGTACTGGAATTCGACTTCCCGATTAATAATTCCAAGCCATTATCCATTATACTACCCACACATTCAAGCTTACAGCACCTGGTATTCCCATGCGGCCACCCATCTATGTACTGACCATACTTGATGTTGCTTAACTTTAGTGATCATACAGGAACTAGTGTTTCAATGTGATATATCTGTGAGCCCAGTAGAAATCAAGGTAAGAGATGGAAAACTCTGAATTTCAAAGTAACGACAATAGGAAAACACTCCACTGTTTTTTTACAAGAGTTTTTGTGGCCGAGCATTCTAAAACCCAACAGATCATACAATGGATTCTCCTACAAAGCAAGACAGTTTCAAGTTTGATTAAATGGTCTGTTTCTTTCTTTTTTTTTTTTTTTTTTTTGCAAAGTAAAATAGTGTGAATAACATTTAACAGTCTGCACAATCAAGGGTCTGAACCCCACTTCTATGAGAAACAAGTGACACTCACCATGGCCGAGCTATCTAAAGCCCATTGAATCATGCAATGGATTCTCCTACAAAAAGAGACAGAAGTTCAAACACTGCTGGAGAGCTTAAGTTTCCTAACTGCACAGGCCTAGCATTTGAGCATGTTGGCCTTGTTCAGACTATTGGTCACACTAGATAATGCACTTTCTCTCAGAATCTCAGCTCAGTATAGTTTCAGTATAAACCACAGGTAGCCTCTGTGGGAGTTGAACAAGCAGAAATGTACCTGAGCAAGCACCTGCAACAGGGATTAGGTAGCTGCCCTAGTAGACGGACATTTTTGGATATGAGTGTCCAGCCATCCCTATATAAATATCACGGACTGGGTGTTGTAAACAAGATTTTGTTGATTACATCCTGACATTTTCAGAATGCTGGAATTGCAATCAGGTTAAAAAGCCTGATGTAAGAAAAAGCATGTATTGAATTTTTATATATGTTGTTGTTGCTTTGTATGTGTATTAAATAATATATATAAACATATTAAATATTTTATACACACTTCAATGTGTCATCTCCTGGAGAGACAAATATTTTATTTTTGTATAAGAATGGCTTCTAGAATGTCGAGTCTTTCATTGTAATTAATGCTAGATAGTATTTTGGTGTTATTTACTAAAATTATGTTCATTATGTTGATGCCTAACAAGAACACTCATGTTACATCTCATTTAAATACACACGGAGACCTGCCAAACTCCATCCCCAACATACTTGTTGATAATACAAATATAATATCCTCATCCACATGTTAAAAAAAGGCCAATAATAATGGAAGCATTATTAATAAAAAAAAAAACACCCTATAACATTAACTATAAACACGACCATAATGTGCTGACCATGTTTGGAAAATAAAAGAATTCTTATAACTCTAGATACAGACATAAAATGATCCATACAGTAAGTTAAAATTTAAAAAAAAAAAAAAATCGCCTTTGTTAAAGGCTAAAAGAATCGCCCAAAGCACTTAGAGAAAGTTCAGACAATTTTTACATAATTTATGTCTAGAAAAGAAGAAAATTATATAAACATGAGATAACTGCAGTAACTTGTCAGTCATTTTTAAGAAAACATATGTACCAGCAATAAAACATTACGTTAGTCCAGTGATGTTCTTCTAGAGGATAAAACACGTGACAGAATTTTTCCACTTTGTCATTCATTTGCCTAACATTGTTCTGATATATAGAGAAATTTATCATATTCTTATATATATATATATATATATATATATATATATATATATATATATATTTAGTAATTGTATGACTGCATGCATAAAATGGGAAATCAAAATTAATAAATTTTTATGTTGATTGAAATTGTATAGTGCTGGGATTTGCCTGCATAGCTATAATATTATTATTCACCACTGTAGACATTGCAACAGCTGCTTGTTTGAATTGCATTGGGGTCACCGTTTATAATGTAAAAGTGTTACCAGTTGTAACAACATTTTCAAAATAAGTGAAATCAATGAAAAATAAGATTTGGTTTGATTTTTGTTTTATGGCATATCAACCTCAATGGCCCACAAGATTTTTATTGCTGGTAATATTTTTTACAAAAATGCATTGCTGGTAATATTTTTTACAAAAATGCATTGCTGGTAATATTTTTTACAAAAATGCATTGCTGGTAATATTTTTTACAAAAATGCATTGCTGGTAATATTTTTTCTTCAAAGCTGTATTGCTGGTAATAATTTTTCCTTCAAAAAATTTATTGCTGGACTTAAAACCTATTTTTACACTTTCATAGTGCTTTAACCCCAGTTTGGGGGCTGTAACTATTTGGCCATAGTTAAGACCCTAACAGGTGCTACTACACTGGGTCAGGGTGGACCTGCAAACTTCAGCAATTAAAAAGATGGTTCCATGTGCCTCAAAACTTCCTGATCAGAGGCTTTGCTGTTGGATGGAGTTTATCATCTTACCCAGGATGCAATAAAATATATATATATATATATATATATATATGATGATGAAAAAAAATATATATATATATATATATATATATATATATATATATATATTAAAAGAGAAAACATATTTGTCAAAAGTTGTACTAATTTTTATTTTTTCACATCATGCAACCTCGTTTAAATGGAGCATTTATTCAAATATGGGTATCCACTTAAAATAAAATTTAAAGTAATAAAATTATATATAATTAATAACAATAAAATCCAAAATCACGTCATATGGGGAATAGCCTATTTTGGCAGACGAAGATATCAGTCATTTGTCTTAACAATCCCATGTCAGAAATAGAAATTTAACGGTGAAAGCTAAGAAAAAACCCAGATCAGTTTCAATATTTTATATTACTAAGATCCACTTGGATTATATGCCAAATGATTTGTACCTTTACTATATATATATATATATATATATATATATATATATATATATATATATGATAATGGTATATATAGTTTTACATATCAAAATCAATATTGGTGAAAAATGTATGATTAAGTGGAAAAATTTTTCCTGTGACATGTTTTATCCTTTCAGATTAAATTTGTCATGTTGGTGTATGCACATGAACCAGGGATGCTGGGAATTTTAAATTTGTTTTTGTTTTTTTAAAATCTAACCAATTTCATTTAGATTCTTTTTCTGTTCATCATTTTTTTAGACATCCCATATTTTGATAATAGAAGTTCTGCCAGGAATGGTGAAATGTTGTAAGAGCCCGGGTGCAAATTTACTGTGGATGACCTTTCAATTAAGGCACTCTCAATACATTGTAGTGAAGTGTTTTCTCCTTTGATCAAAGTATCTTTTTTTTATGTCAGAATTGGTGTCCCTCTCATTACATTTGATGTATTATCTTGTAAAATGTCTCTTTTGTGTTCATATAATCTTTTATTTAGATTCCTTGAGGTTTCTCAGATGCATTTTTTGTGGCAAATGCATTGAGCCAATTGCCTCGTCCACCGCAAGGAAAGTTGGCTCCCTGTGCCAAGCCAGGAAATTTTTCTCCCCGGAATCGGTCCTCCAGATCTACAAATCAACAATTCACCCTTGCATGGAGTATTGCTGCCATATATGGTCTGGTGCCCCTTCTGTTTGCTTCAGGGTTCTTGATAGGCTCCAGAGGTGGATATGCAGTATAATTGGCCCTGCTCTGGCATCTCATCTACAGTCTCTTTCTCACAGATGCATCGTCGCCTCTGTCTGTCTGTTTTACAAATATTTTCATGGAAATTGCTCCGAGGAGCTGCATTCACTGGTTCCCCGACTTCATGAGTTCAAGCACCCTACGACGCTGGCATCCCACTCTCACCCCTTCACTGTCGAAACTTCGAAATGTAGCCGTCTCTTCTACTCTAATAGCTTCATGTCTCGCACCTCTTGCCTGTGGAACTTCCTTCCCTATTCCAGTTTCCCTGAGAGCTATAATCTCCAGCTATTCAAGTGCAATATCAATCGACATCTCCAGTTGCCTTGATCTATCAACTATCCTTCTCCTCATCCTTTCCTCTATCACTCCTATCTGATCTCGCTCCAAATTTCTGTAACCCCTTGCGTCCTAGTGGCTTCTCACCTTGCTTGGGGTGAAATGCTTAAAAAAAAAAGGGTTTTTACAGGTGATCGAGTAAACGATTCCTTCAAGTTTTACCTTATTGTTTTTAGTATTGACTAAGTCTTTTATTGTTTTAGACGTAATAGTAACAAATTTTATGTTGAATTTACATAGATTCTTTTCAATTGTAGATTTGATAGTGTCAGTTTGTAGGACAGTATATTTTTTTGATTCATTGGATTTGTCAGGAAGGGTCATTTTTCTATTTTGAAATATTTTATCAGCCTTTTGTTTCACATCGAATATGAAATAATTAAGGTACTGAAGAAGCTTGTACCCTAATGATTTTATATTCACGTGCATGTTCCTGTATAGCCTGGGATAACATAGCTGCCCTCACTGTATGATGACTGTCCATTTTGTGCTTCACACATGTGAAGATTAACATTGAAACTGACAGTCACAATACAGTGTTGATTTCTATCTCCACCACACGCTTTATATCTAGAAATACTCTTCTCTCTAATATTGAGCACACTTTCCATAAAAATATAGCAAATTTTCAGCTGCATATACTGATGTACGAAAAGTCATAAGACAGCGTAGTATATAAAGGTAATGGTTGGTGACGCCATCATACATTATAAAAAAATACCTTAAAAAATTTTTAAACAATATTTTCAGGTTTTTTATGATAGGTTTATATATATATATATATATATATATATATAGAATATGTATTTTTCTAAGAAAATCAGTTTGTAGATGAGGTTTTCATTGATGTATTTTTTTAAAGAGGATTTTGTTTGAGAATTAAATTTATTGCTAAAATATCCTTTCTTTTTTTTTTGTAATGGTGGTTTTTATATATATATATATATATATATATATATATATATATATATAAAAAAAATATATATATATATATATATAAATATATATATATTATATATATTATATATATATATATATATATATATTGATGTAATATATATATATTATGTTTCATAATATATATATATATATATATATGTAAGATATATATATATATATATATATGTAATATATATATATAAGGATAATAACATATTATATATATACTTTGTAAAAGATTTTCTAACATATATAAAGTCAT